AGCTGGGACTTAAGTAACTCCACGCAGCCGCCCTTTGACGAGTCACTTTTGAAGCAGAGTGCAGCGTTGCTTTCCTACACAGCTTTTGTCAGTCAGTCCAGGGATTTGAACTGCCAGCCGTCCAAGTCACGAGCATCCACCTCCTCTGCAGGCTGCTGCTGTCTTTTATAGCAGACGACCAGTAAAAGAGCTAAAAACTCTTGACCCTTCCATTCCTGGGGGCGCCCACAAGTGCTTAAGCAGATAAAGATTATATTCATCGCATAGACATTTTAGTACGGGGGTCAGAAAAGGGCTTTTACATAAAAACAGATTGTTTTACAGAACGAATAATGCCGATGTGAGTTTAGACTGGTGGTACTGCTTATGTTGGCTTACGCTCAACTGTACTGTAAGGAACTGGTGGCTATACTGGAAACCTAAACAATGAAAAAAAAAAGGTTTTCTTTTCTTGCAAATAGAAGAGGATGCCTGTGAACTCAAAGTCGGACTCAGAAATCCATTACAAGGTCAACAGCCTGTGCTGCTTCAGTCCACCTCACCGGTGTCCGGTTGAATCACACAAAGTGAATATCTGAGAAGACAATCTACCTCCTACTTCCTGAGTATGTGTGCAATATTACTGTGGAATGACTTCTGTACATCTGTAACCTATAAAAATAACCACACACTTGATATTTTTATTTTATTCTTTTTTTTTTGTCACTACCATCGTTTCCTTCCTTTTTTGTTACATTCCAGCATGTCTGACTACATATCGGCCATCAGGGTTAAATATTAATGACCGAACCTGCCAAATCCGCCTGAACATTCACAATACTTTTAATGCAGCTGCACTTATTTTACTGTGTCTCCTTTTTCTCATAGAGTTCAGAAGAGGAACCGAAGAAGCCAAGGCAGTCATGAAATGTGAACATCTGTGTCGACAAGTGTTACATGTATGCGCTGCATTGAAGGTCAGTGGCTCATACTTCCACTGTGCAATATCTGGCTGATCATAAAGGGGCTACCATTTGCAGGGTTGCCTTGCATGCAAAATTTCAGGTCACGACCACTGGGAGCCAATAATGCCTTTGGCTAAGCAACAAGATGCAAATATATCTATTCAAATTCTCACCACTCCATACACATTCAGGGCTTACACAAACACAGACGCACACACACACAATCTCATCTCAGTGCAACGAGCCCTCGTTTGATCCATGAATAAGTCACAGTCCTGGGGCAATATTTGATCTGAGACGACTTCAGATCCATATTTCTGTGTTTACTTTTCTTGTTGACCAAGAAAGGAGACTGAGCTTACACCTTCTAGATTATTTTAGTCATTTTCATTGTGCTCGCTGTAGTTCAGCAGCCTCTTAGTCCAGTGGCAGGCCCGGATTACACGTCTCACCCAGGGCAGGAATAAAGATAACAGCAGACAGGCAGCACCATCCACTCCAGGCTGTTGAGCAGACGGAAGTTAGTCAGAGTTAAGACATCAGTGTACTTCTATGTCACACTCGGTGCTCCAGATTCCCCCTCCGCCTCCGCCTCCCCGAAGCCCTAAAGGCAGAGTTTACACAGTCACCTGGTGTTTAACTGGTCACAAGAAGATGGATGACAGTGTAGGCAGCAAAGCTAGATAGAAACCCCCTCAATGTCACAGCAGCTCATTCGGTTCAATTTCGGCCCCTGCTTAGCCACTGGGGCAACCCAGATATCATTCATTCTAACACTGTCCATCACACTATACATAGACCAGCGAAATTAGCACAAACGCAATGCTCGCTATCAGTGTGAAGTATGGTGGCAGTAGGGGCGATTATTTACGGGCTGCATTACTTTCTGAAGACCTGAGCTCTGAGTCATCGACCGAGCCTGATAATTAATTCCACGCGCTACAGAAATATTATGAAGCTGCACTACAGAATGACAGATGTACAGCATGAAGCACATTGTCAACAGGGTGACTGTATTAAGCTATTTTGACTGCTTCGTTATGAGATTGTGCGTTCCTGTAAAACAAATCCGTAGTTTTCATTTTTAATACTTGGCACTTTATTTTCCACAAGTTGTATTTTGTTTTCGGTAAACAGAGGAGACAGGAGATCCGGCGGTTTGATGTACTCATGTGTAATCAGACTATTTGTTGTTTTCTGTCTGCTCTTTGTTTGTCCCAGAGCTCAACTTCCTGTAGATACAAGAGGTAGAGATACACTGGGATCTGACAGTAAGAGATAACCTGCCATCAGCGAGCCGTCTATTTTTAACAGCAGGTACTAGTAACGCATGACGTGGGGCTCTTGTTATCAATATTTATGGGACAAAGATTAAGACAGAGTAATGATACACACAGCCCTGACTGGATCCATCCTCGCTTAATAGTTGTCATTACGGCGAGGGGGAGGAGGAAAGTGCTTATAGACTCAAAATTTTTAGGCTGGCACTCTGCATTTTAGTAATGATTCCAGAGACCACAATGGGCCCCAAATGTGATTAGCAGATGTCAACAGGGGTGTATGATGACTGCAGTGTTAAAATGGCTTTAACAATACTCTCCCCCCCCCCCCCCTTTCTTTTTTTTTGGTGATTAATTTTTCTACAGTTGTCATTTGAGGAGGTGGAGCTGAGAGTCATTTTCAGGCATTCACGGGCAGATTGTTGGAAGCTCCTTGGGAAAAAGGTTGGACAAAATCTTACACACAGTTACATCTTAAAAGCTGCGTGCAGCTCAGGAGGTTAAAAGACAGGTTTACAAAAATACAGAGCAACAACGACAACAACAAGTGGTAATGAGCCAATCACAAAAGAGATACCACGACTGCTTCTGCTATAATTGTGACATCCTACATCTTCTTTGCTGCATTGCCTGTATCCGATTAACACCAACACCTGTACCTCCTAACAGACCTCGAAAAGGCCGGAACAGTGCACATTCTTCCCCCGTGTTTATCCCGAGGTGCAGCCCGTTGGCCACACATTTTAATAACACTCCCTGTGCCAAAATATATTTCACTCAAACTCTTATAAGTTCCAAGAGTAAGCTCAAAAGAGGTGAAGTATCTTGGCAGACCATAGAGCAAAATGCCATGCAGTCATATGCAGCCCAGGGGATGAAGTGATTGATCTATGACCTCGGACTCGGATAAGATATTGTGCTGAAGAGTGCGGGGGAGGACACGGATAGTGGAAAAGGGACGAGCATGAGTCAGTAACAGAGTCTGCGAAAAGCTGTGGGAGCAGAGGAAGTGTTAACAACATCACAAGTAGGAGCAAGTCAAGTTACCACGTCAGGAAGCAAAAAGGCCTGAGAGTAGGATGATGGTAGGAGCCTGCGAGGTGATGGGGACACATACATCCTAATCATTTAATCATGTAAGGTGAAAAAGAAAAGAGGGGGAATTGTTCGTGCTGTCTTCACCCGGGCTGATATGTGTTACCTCTCTCTTCATGTCACTGCCTTTTATTAGTCGCCTGTAATGAGTAGCCCCCTGTGTGAAAAGCCTGCGAGGACCGAGTTCAAGGATAATAAGCTATGTGTGGCTCTTAAGTCCAGCACTGCTTGCCTGTTTGGTACACGGAGAACCACATCTTTCTTGCCCAGTAATAATTATGATTAAACACACATATATGTTTTTTATTTTTATCTAATTATGCCATCTTGTGTCTTTGAGGCAGAAATGTATTGACACAAACCACAAAAAAACTTCTCTTTTTTGTTTTGTTTTGTTTGTTTGTTTTTGGCCACTGCCTCTACAAGCAGGCTGACACAGTAGCTACATGCGTAGTCAGACCAGATTAGAATCAGCTGCGCTCGCCAAGAAAAGACTTTTTGAATGTGTCAGAAGTTTTGGTACAATATTGACAAGTGCCACTGACAACAGAGAAATGTGACTTCAGGTTCAATATTAAAATCAGTGCGTATTTTGGCACATGTACTCCCCTACGTGAAGGCGAACAGCAGTATCAGAGCAGCAGGTGTGGGTGGGATGGCATCCAGGTACCTGAAACACTTTGATGAGCAGCTTTTGTTTTTGTTTTTTGTTTTTTTTTGGGGGGGGGGATTTAATGCTTTTGTTGTTTGTTTCCAGAGAAAAGTCCAAAGATTTGTTAGATTGGTGCTATTGTCTCTTTTTTTCTTTTTTTTCTTTTGAAGAAGCACGCCTACAGGTTCCAATAGCGCGCCACCCATGCAGCGTTATTTCCATAAGCTATGACCAAAAAAAAAAAAGACGAAAAAAAAGATCATAGCACAGAATGACACTTTTCTTACACACGCACTCAAAAAGTTTGGGATGTTGGCAAAGAGTCAGGCATCACCTATTACTCATGTTACTTAGTACATTTGGGGCTTCACTTGCAAGTACGGCGCTTCGTCACTGCATAACAATCAGATGGCTGAGTGTTGGCAGTGTAACTGATGGAATTTTACTGAAAACAGATTTCGCCTTTGAACTTCCAGATATTCCTGATCGAAAAGTATCATCCGTGACTTCACGCACTGTGGTCGCTTCTCTCGGTGTAATAACGCTTCCGGAGGACGTGGATTAACTTTTTTCACATTTATTTCTGTCCTGAAGGGGGGAAACGCAGCACTTCAGCAGAGTTTGACAGTGTAAGTATATATGTGTATATATATGTAAATATATATATGAGAGAGACGGAGTGTGGTCCAGCAGAAAAGGGGGAAGAAAGAAGGAAAGGGAGGAAGAAAAGGGCGGAGGGGGGTTTCGTTTTGAGCAGCAACAAGTTCCTCTAGAACTTGACAAGCAGACACCGGGGCGCTGTAAATGTCTATTTGTTTTGTGAGGGGGGGGGGGGGGAGAAAGACAAAAAGCCCGCTGCGCATCGCCCGTAAGAACAATCTAAATGACCAGTTGTGCGTATGCGTAATAGGCCCATGGCCCTTCGCCAAAGAGGGAGTTAACAGTCTATTACACAAACACGTGAATCGAGAAATGTCTCAGAAGTTTTTATGTCTCTTTCGTTGTTCCTCGATGCGGATTTAAAGATTTGAGGCGGTGAACGAGGCGATCAGTCAGGAGCGAGTGCCCCCCATAAACTTGTATTGCCGTCGCTTATTTCAATCACGTAAGACCCCCTAATGGCGTTGTCCTGGCGAGGGTGTTACGTATATCTGTACAAGCTTTTCTGACAAGCCAGCCTTGTTGATATTTGTCTTTACTGTAGAGCCACCAAGGTGTTGCCTAACAGAGTTTAAGCACGCCGATATTGCAAAGGGTTATTAGATTCATAAGTCAGCGAAGTGGTGGGCGATCTACTGAGCACAGCAGAAGTTCTCATATGATGACTTCAAACAAGACACATTACCTACCAGCATCTGTTGGAGTGAGTGGATATTAAGACACTTCTATCTCCAGGACAGCGTAGGGGAAAATGGTAAGTAGCAATGGAAACACACAGCATATAAGGGATGATTACCAGCAAATAGTCGTGCTTGCTGTTTAGTCTGGCAACGCATTGCTGGAAGGGTTGGACTCTACTTGAGAAACTCAGTATCGAGACCCATGTCTGATGAGGCTGATGTTGACAAAGCCTGTGTGAGAAAGGATTGTGTGGCATTTCTCTGCTCAGGATATGCCGGTACAGTGAGAGGGGTAAGGAAATATTACATTGTGTCTGCGCGCTGTGTGTGGATGTGATGTGGGCTGTACAGGCTGCCTTGGAGGGCTGAGTGCTGGCAGAGAAGGGTTTATATTTTATGCATGCATTTATGTTGCCTTTTGCGAGCGGTGGCCATGCTTGTTTAAATAACATAAGCAACATGTGCCACTTGGCTGTCACACTTGTCATAAGCATGACATTAAGAACAATGGGGCACAGTATCAGCGCTGCCGGTTACAATTTGGCGTAAGAGTGTAGCCTTTCTGTGGCAAGCGAACTGAGCCGGCGTTTGTGGTGTATAGGTGCTGTTTATCTGGGAGGAAATGTCCGACCAAAATGTGATCAAATATTAAGAGGACTGGTTTGGCAAGGGGTGGGAAAATACACGTGACAAGACGCGAGGAAGCAAGCTGAGTAGGGGGGTGAAAAAGAGCTGTTTAAAGTGGGCACTCAAAAAAAAAAGTATATAGCTATTTTCTTGGCCCCTCATAGTTACCCTGGCTGTGTTATGCTTTCAGCACGTTGGACAGAGGCACCGGAGTCGTGCATGGACTAAAACGCCGAGTGGACGCCAACTCTCTTTCTCTCTTTTCCCAGCCCCCCTTTGCCAAACCTGGGATTGTTTTTTCAACTTTTGGTAAGCTTATTCTGAAGGAGCCTGTGGTCTGTAAACGGAAAATAAACCGGATTCTAAAAAGAAAGAGAGGGAGAGAGCAAGAGAGAGAGAGAAAACATTTTAAAAAAGGGGGTAAAAGAAAAGCGCTTGCCATTAAAAGAGCTCGTGCTTCAGATGTGTTTTTTTTTCTTTTTTTCCCCTTTTTTTGTAGAGCACTGTGAAAGTTGAAATGTTAGGGCGTCTGGTCTTTTGCACATCACATTCTCGGTACCTATAAGCCCCCCCACACTGCGTTAAACTTTGGGACATGCAAGTCTTGGTCGCGGAGATCTAACCACGCACATAGTGGTTGTCAGCCCTTATAAAGGTAAGAGCACAATCCATTGTTTTTTGTGTGAATCCTTTCTTCCTGTCGGCTTTTTTCACGAGGCTTCGGCTGGCTTTTTTCCGAAATGAACTTAAAACTACAGCATGCAGCCCTTCGTCTTTTGCAGTGTGTTCATTGTGGACATGAATAACCGAAATAAGTCCGAAATGAAGCACGATCCAGGTGACCAAGACCCGGCGGAGCATATCCTTCTTTCTTTCTTTCTTTCTTAAAAAACAATCCTGAACTTATTGTTATTTTTAAGCTTTTTTTCTTTTTTTAAATAAAATATAGGTGCGTGCACGTTCATGCGGGGAGCTTTGCGAAGCGTTTTTTGGAGTTTCCGAACACTGCTGCAACACAATTTGCGTAATCGTTGCGTTGTGCCTAATCATGCTCCCAATATGGGACTTAAGACGCTGCAGTGATACTTTCAGCACGAACTGGAATACTGATGCTCGTGCACATCATAAAATATCTACCTATCTGTCTATCTGTGCTTATTTTTCTTGTTTGGTCTGCTGCATTCATGTTTTGTCTTGATGTCAAACCCTCCGGATTTTGTTATCGACCAAAAATAGCCCTACTCCCCCCCCCCTCCCGCGCCAGCACCCCCCCCCCTTTTCCCTCCATAGCCCCCCCTCCCGTCATCGCCATCAAATCACTTGTGTTTTTACTACGACCGCTCCACGGTTTCATTCATAAGGTGCTTTTCACTTCACCTGCTACCCTACCCCCCTCCTCCTCCCCTCCTCCTCCTCTTTGTCCGTACACGGCTCTGTGTCGACCTGTCAGACTGCAGGCTACGAATGAATAAAAATATTAGTGATAATAAAAGATAAATAAAGCCTTAAATGTAAGAAAAAAAGCGAAGGGCGGTGGGGGTAGAATAAATAATTCCTCGCCCCTTTTAGACTCGTGTGATTTGCTGCCAAAGCGAGGCTCATTTACTGTGTACAAATTGTTCGCTTTATTCTTGTGTGAAATTACAATAAAGATGGGCGTGGTCAAAGTCCATCCTCTGACAGATGTTATGGCTGAACGTTATGGTGAGAGATAAGATGGCTTGACAGGAAATTGCTCGGGAAGCATCGCTTCTTTCTTTCGTTCTTTCTTTCTTTCTCGCTTGCTTTCTTTTCTTCTTCTTCTTCTTCTTTTTGTGTAATTTAAAATTAAAGCAATCAGCATCACTCATCTCGCCTATTTGATTTACATGATCATCACCCAAAACTGCCCCGAGATTTTATTTCTGTGCCCTCCTGAAGGACTTGTAGCCTTAAAAAATTCGTCTCGCACCAATGCAGAAGCAGTGGATATTGTCTACCCCCCCCCCCCCCCCCCCGGCTCTCTCACTCACACCCCCTTTGGTCAAAGATTTAAGATTTCTGATCCAAGTCGAAGCAATTGCATGGCAAAACAACAGCATGGGAAGAGAAAAGCCCCAACGCCCACTGGCAGTCCTGTTTTAATCAAGACTTCTCGTGCAGGGGGCTGCGATTTCAAATAAATACTTCCAATATGAAAGTATCCAGTAAATCCCTAATTACATTTGAATTATGGGACACCCCCCTCCTTTTTTTTCTTCTTCTTCTTCTGCTGGCGTTTTCCGTAATTTTAACCCAGCAATGTAATGCGCCCAGATCGGTTTCCGCATATTATGACCTATTACTCCTCATTTTATGAGACGCTGAAACCCAAATAGATCACATTACTTATTAGGCTAACCCGACATTCATAAAAATGCTCCTTTAATAAAGGCAGCGACGCGACTTTAATAGCCACATTCCAGGCATCAGTGCCACAAAACCCGCTGATTGCACAAATTACGACCAATCATTAATTTGCCGAACGAAACGAAAGGAAGGGTTCATTGGATGACAGATCGGGGGAATTGTGACAGTTTAAAGAAATTTTTGGCCTTATGTTTTTTTTAATTCACAGATGCTATCATTGTCTCACCTTTTTTCTTTTCTTTTCTTTTCTACTGCACCATCTTTTTTCCCCTCCGACTGCACTGTTTATAAACGTAAGCATTTTTTTTCTATTTCTATTTTCTGGCCGTGGCTTTATTTTTATTTTCTAATTTATTTATGTTTTGTTTTTTTTTTTCCATCGAGACGTGGGATTAGATGGTGTGGGCGTGGGCGTGTTGGGTGGAGGAGGAGGGATGAGCGGAGGCGGGTTAGGAGGGGTCTGTGGGGTGGCACGACACACTTTGTATGTATGAAGGTTTTTTTATAGCACTTTTCTGCAATGTACGTCAGCGGATCAGTCCATAAATGGGGCTGCGCGTGTTTGTGTGCGGGCGTGCGCCTGCGTGCGCTCGCGCCTGTGTGCGTGCGTCTCCGCGTGTGTTATCTTTACCGAGAATCTCCCCTCTCTCTCTGCACTCTCAGCTCTGCAGAGTTGGGGTGGGCGTCAAAAACAAACCTGATGGTAGGTTTCTTTGCAAAAAAAAATCCGATGAAATTCTTTCGGATGGGCCTTTTTTAAATTAAACGGGGAAAAAAGAAAAAGAAACGCCCTGGGTGGAAATAAAGATAGCATTATTAACGTGTTAGATTGTCTCGTGCAGCTACTATTTTTTTCTCCATCATGTAATTGTTGGTCTTTGTGTGTCGGTTTTTATATCCTTTTTTTTTCTTTTTCTTTCTTGTTTTACCCCGACGCCATTAATTCTGCACTTTGTGGAAAAATCCGGATTTAAATGCCATTTTCCCTATATAGACATGGGCGACGTTTGTCCCCCAGTAAAACTCGGATTTCGGATTTTTTTCCACCCCCCGCTTTCATTCATGAAATGCAATCGCTTGATGTCTGATATAAATTATAAATAGGCTATTGATTATTATTTTTCTTTTATTGGGGGCAGAGGGTGTATAGATCTCGAAAATCTGGGTTCCGCAGAGAGGCGGACGTCACGATATATTTAGATTGAAAATTAATCATCTTAATCATTATGAAAATGTAGGCTACATCGCCCGCCGCCACCGTCGCTGTCCCCGCTGCTGCTCCTGCTTTAGTCACCACATCATCGTCATCTTCATCACTGGCACCTTCATCCAATTAAGAGGCTTGTTTAAACAAGTTCTGGCAGGAGGCGAAGCCTTGAACCTTTATTCCGAACATTTAATTACCAGTTATTCGTCATTCAGCAGCGTGACTGTGGTTTCGCAGCGATGAAGCCCACGATGAGTTATTAATACATAGTTGGAATATTCTTACTGTAAAGACATCTTATATGACGGACCACTGCGGGACAACAAGGATGCATGACGCGGCGTGACAGGAAATGCTCGACGATTCCGGCAAACCATTCACGTGTGTCTCCCAGCAGTATGTGAACATGCAGCACATCAGTGATTTCAGACAGCTTCCAGAAGCCATCAAAACAGCTTTTTTTAATGCTGTTTCCTGAGTGCCAGTTAGACGGAAAGTGAGCCGGCTTTGGCCCGTAAGGTTGATTTAAAGTATCTAATTTCAGGCCTTTATTCTGAAAATTGCGTTTTTGCTTCCATATGGTGGCAGGAAATCGCTCTATAGCAAATCAAGGCAGGGTTTTAATTTTGTGCATCCTCTCTTGCTTAGCATTTTTTTTAAATTCTGCTTTCTTTTTTTAAAATAGAAAATATTTTATTATAAGCAGTGAAGCAAACATTAGTGATGGGGGAGTGTGGTGTTGGGGGGGCAGAAGGCAAGAAAACAGACAGAGGCTTCACAGGCTATGGAGTGACTTGCAGTCTGCCACTATAGAAATAATGTATCAGCTGAATGAGGGTGTGGGAAGGAGGAGTCTATAGGCCATATATGATCCTTAGAAACCCAGTCTGCTGTCTGCTTCATGATCACATTAAAGGTTATTGTCATCACAGGAGGGATGACATTAACTCCTCACACCAGCATCTGATTATTTCTTTTTCAAAAAAGGCCCTGCACTGACTTTATCAATTTAGAGTTTTCACTCAGCTCACTCCTCGTCTCCTTTGACGTCACACAACCTCCATCCAAAGAAATGTTTTCTCAGTTGCCTCCTTGAGGAGCAATGCAATTTCCCTTTGATCAAAATACCCTCATCGCCTTGCTTTATCCCCGGTGAAAATGACATTTCGCAAAAGTCATTTCGCCTGTGTTACATGGTCCCCTTCTCTCATGCAAGGAGGCATAATTCTACTTGTTAAGTGAAGCTTTCGGCAGTGTGGACCTGTCAGCATTCGTGTTGCATTTGGCGAGAGAAGCTTTGAAAGGTTATACAAGTGGGTCGTGTTGTCAGGTCTTGTGGTTGTTTCTTCTTCTTCTTCTTCTTCTTCTTCTTCCTGCAGCCCAAACAGCAAAAAGGGTCGTGAGCTGGGAAGATATAAGGAGAGAACTACCCAACTGCTACTTCAAATTACATGTGTTCGCCTGTCATTCTGATCACTAAAGCATATGAAAAGTTGCCATACGACATCAAAAGAAGATTTCATCTTCAGAGATCTCAAACCTCAACAAGATCCAATGATGGTTTAGTGGTTTTCAAATCGACCTCATGGGTGACTTGTATTAGGTCAACAATGTCATGCTTCAGTCTGGTCCTCAACTGGAGGAGTCAAAGGGCTTCTAATACTCCCCACTACCCCTTATTTCCTTGCAGATATTAGGCATTGTGTGGATTTCA